CTGCCACTACTGTCGGAGCATGGTGGCTCGATCATCACCATCAAACTATGCCTCTCGGCCACTGTTATCACTATATAACAATTCTATTGTCACCACCATTATTGCATAGCAGCCATAATCATCACCCAACCACAGCAATCATTCAATCAACGCCAACAGTGTTACCCAAATCTTCATCATTTGATCCCTATCGTTGATCATCCACCATCACAGTCGTATCATTATTGTTTCCCTAATAATTTGTTGCTCAACTAGCAAAAATCGGGTCGATAACCCCCACTATTGTAAGATTACTTCCTATTCAAGAGACATGCAAAGTCTTATAACTTATATATTTATTGTGAAACCAGTTCAAGGGGGGCAGACCCTATGATTTTCACTACTTTAATTTTTTCATGTAAAATTTCTTGAATGACTTCTACGTCATTTATTTTTATCTTTTTATGTGTGAGATATTTGTGTCAAGTTAAGACTTGTACTCTATCCTTTAAATATTCAGGGATGTAAGGTTATACAACTAAAATAATAAACAAAACTTGTACATCAAGAAGGTTGTCATAATGAACTTTTTTTTTTTTTTTTTTTGTAGGAATGCTGACCCGTTTCCTTGTTTCTTACAGATTTACTTGATTGGTTGATACATTGACCCTTAAAGGCACAGCTTATTTGTAGACTGCTAGGAACATCGATTACATTTATTCATAACAAGGTGACATTATGTTTAGCTCACATAGTAGTCTGAAATTTTAGTCATCAGAACAATTTAGTACGGTTAAATTTGTAGTTTTACCTCCTATAATGGTATGTGAATTGTGAATACGGAGAGAATATATCCGTCGGCCGGATGTTCGAATGGCGGCATGAATTGTATCATATTGTGCGTCCGGTGATGTGGTGCGATTCACCCAATAAATTGTATTAGGATCCACCCAATTAACTGGCCCACCCACTAAACTATATTTAAGCGGGACTAAAGAAACTAACATATTCAGTCTCAATTTGTATGTTTTGACATATCTAGCACCTAAGTTATCAATTAAAATAATTTTTAAATTTATTTTATTTCAATTCAAATATATCTTTTAGTTATAATTTATAATGAATTTTAAGTTAACATCAATTTGATTATCATGCCAAACTTGTGAAAATTAAATGAAAATGTTTTTCTTAATTTTATTAATGGAAAATTTACATACCTAGCACAAATGTCTCGTGCATGTACATATCTCACACCTAAACTTTCATTTTTACACAGACTTTAGTGTTTTAAACGAGTGCATGAAAATATGCATTTCACATTTAAAAGCCATAATAATGCTATTTTTGATGTGATATTAAAGATTAAAGTATTATGGGTGTAAATTTAAAAATTTAGGTGTTAGGTATATATGTAAAGATGTAAGAATTGTTTGCTAGATACTTAAATGCCTCTTTTTTTTAGATTTTTATAGCTAATAATATAATGAATTAGTTTAATTTTTAATTAAAATTTAAACATTGTTTACTGAAATTATAATACTTTCTAATATTAATAAAATAATTAATTTATATTTCTTATGCATTTTAAAATATATTATTGTTAAGTAATATTATGAATGAAATTATGTGCAGCATATAAAAAAATAAATTCATAAATCTTGAAGAATTAGGTTTAAAAATGTTAAAAAATTTCATGTTATAATATGTAATAATATGATTATGGTATTGATGATAAAATGACTTTATAACTATTTCAAGTCATTTTTTTTTATATTTTAGTTACAATATAATTATATCATTTTAAAATAAAAATAATAATAAACCAAAATCATTAATATCAATCCTAAATATGGATAAAAAATAAGACTTGATGTGTGCCGAAAGATTCGCGGTGGTAGAATAATAGATTATCGTCTTAACGATGCATGAAAAATCAACGCACACTCAGATAATCAAACTGATAGGTAGACATCATATGTTTTAAGTGAAAACTCTTGGAAAAAAGGAAAAAAACCATGGGGCCTAGTGAGTAAAACTAATTCACTATATAATGATGAGAACACAAACTCACTCTTCTCATGATCTTGGGAAGATGAAATTACAATGTTGATGCATAATGATATTTAAACAATAATATTCATAACAGGTTGCGAAGGCTATAGTCGATTGTCATGGAGGCAATAGTCCATCGTTAATGTTGTAGATGGTGGTTGTAGCACCAGCTTGTCTAAAGAACACTCAGATAATCAAACTGATAGGTAGACATCATATGTTTTAAGTGAAAACTCTTGGAAAAAAGGAAAAAAACCATGGGGCCTAGTGAGTAAAACTAATTCACTATATAATGATGAGTACACAAACTCACTCTTCTCATGATCTTGGGAAGATGAAATTACAATGTTGATGCATAATGATATTTAAACAATAATATTCATAACAGGTTGCGAAGGCTATAGTCGATTGTCATGGAGGCAATAGTCCATCGTTAATGTTGTAGATGGTGGTTGTAGCACCAGCTTGTCTAAAGAACAGAGTTATAAGCTATGATAATAGTTGGTCATGTGGGTTATAGATAATTGCTTTAAAAGCGTCGATTGACAACATTGATTACAGCGGGGGGTTGCAATAATGTTTGTAGGTTGTAGAGGTAAGAGTTAGACATAGTAATCACATAGACCATAACAAGAAGTTAGAATAACTTCTGTAGGCCATATAAGCCAAAATTGGGAGATGCATGAACTATGATAACATTCATATACTAAAAAAGTTGGATTTGAGAGCTACATGAGCTGTGATAATTTTCAGTGGTTACTGAGGTCAGAGTAGGAGTTGCATGAGTTGTGAACCATGTATATCTTGTTGGTTCTGTACGTTTTAGTGGTAGCCTGCAAGTATAAAGCTTCAAGAGTCCAAAGAAAGTCATCATATACTGAGTACAGATGATAATAATGTGGAGTGTGTTGTTACACTATCTTTATGAGGCTTTATTGCACCGTATTTGAGGCACATTGATGCATCATATTTGGAGTGTGTTGTTACATCGTCTTTCAGAGGTGTCGTTGTATCATATGAGAGGCACATTGTTGCGCTGTAGTCAGAGTGTGTTGCTGTGTAGGATGCTTGGTTACTCTACAAGGTAGGGCGTTACTCCGCATGGCGCTTTGTAATTGAGCAACATACGTTGAGATTCCACAGAACTCGTCGTGAATCTGCAAGGTACTTCGTTGCAATGTGTAGGGGGAGTTTCATGGTGATTGAAGGTAGGTGACACTCGTTGGACCTTCGAGGTGAAACACTAGATGTCAGATCATTCTCCTCAAAGTTTTGGTCTTCTTTAGGTTCAAGGCCTAGGTCCCCTTTCATGATGTGGGTAGGGCTTTATTTACAGATTCTAAGAGAGACCCCCCAATAAGTAAAGAATATGAAACACTCCATCCGACGACTTTGAGAGATTCCGTTAATCGAATGACATTTTGTAGATATTTGATGCCTGAACAATGTCAAGATTCAGAGATCATGAAAAAAAGTTTGTCAAGAAGCTCAATTTGAACATAAGCTTGTTAGATTTGAAATTTATTTGACTTCTAATAGGACACTAGCATGAGGCTTTTAAAAATGATTAAAAATGCGCATAATGGGCTTTGACTCTGATTTTGATCAAATTTGTTGTCATTACATTCATCTCATCAAGCCCAATAGTTTAATCATAATTTTGTTAAAATTGAAATTCTTATAAATTTTAATTAAAATTTGAATCAAAATTTATTGATGTCATATCCATACTATTTTAATAAAAAACATT